CAAGCTACAATTATCTTTCTACCAGCCCCATGAGACTGTTCTGCTGAATACCTGCCAGGAAAAATGTACTTGTGTCCCCGGTAAAGGGCTCCTATGTGAGGCCCACTCTTGTGCCGCTGATGAAACCTGCCGCCTTCAAGAAGGAGTCCTGACCTGTGTTAAGGGTAAGTATTCATTCCTTTATGTTCACTGGCTAAGTATCCTTGGGGAAAGATAATTGTAGCTTCAGGACTATAGGCCAAGACAGTGTGGACTTCAACTCCCAGAATTCCTCAGCCAGCTATCTTGGAGAATGCATCTTGAAGTGGCCAAAGTTGGGAAACAGTGGAGCATATGACTGGCAGAGTGAGTCAGTTATGGGGACATTTGAGAAAATGAGCATATGTTATCCAGATTCTATCAGGCTGCTCTGAGGTGACTTCTATGATAGGGAAAGCCAACCAGTATACCAAACACTAATTACCAAGTAGAAAACAATTGAAGTTGCTTCCTGCTGTCTCTTCAAGCTATCTGCCATGTTGTTGCTTAAGATGATTAACGCGGATCCTACCAATCTCATTCAAAGTAAAAGTTAGGACAGGAAGTCGGACTTTACTTTCCAATTTGCCAATCCCATATTCATGCATTTTTTTTTAAAAAAAAAATCAGAATATTTATGTAAGTGGGCTAAGAAACAACACTGTGAACATTAATGAATATTCACCAGTACCTTGATGTCTGTGGCCTACAATATCTAGCCAAGATCATCATTCAAGTCAATGTTTCTCAATTTTGGTAACTTTAAGAAATGTGGACTTCAACGTCCAAACTTCTGAGAGTTGAAGTCTACATGTTTTAAAATTGCCAAAGTTGAGAAACGCTACTCCAAGTCAAGCATATTCAATCTTCATCAGATTGAGTCCCTGTATTGAATGTTTCATGGCACATTGTGGGCATTATTTCATAATGGGTGAAACTATATCTACAGCTATATCTTTAATGCAATTCTAGAAGAGTTTCCAATGCAATATTCAGCAGTCACGGAGGCATTAAGAGAAATAGGTATTCCACAGTTTTTAAACTCTTTTTGGATCAAATCTGATATATTCTGGAAACCTCTCCCAACTAATGTATCCTTGCAAAAGTGGATTCATTGAAGAAAGGATTTCAATGTTTAATTCCAATTCTATAATTTGATTTTATGGCAATTTATCGATCATCGTATTCAGCATCACTTTCAATTTTGCATCTTATCCACATGCACAAGCAGATTTATTCTCTATTAAGAGTCCTTTTCTCTTTCAGGTACTTGTAATGTAAGTTCCCGTGGAAAGAAATTTCTTACCGCCTTCATGTACAATTATTACCATTACCAGAATAAAAAACTGGAGCTGTACGTCTCTGGATATCATCCTGCAACAAATATTACAGTGTCAACAAACAAAGGGAAAATACACAGGACCATTAATGAAGGAGAACTTGCTTCCATTGAATTGTCATTGTATTTAGAAATGATGGGGAGTGACATCTTTAATAAGGCAGTACTGATTGAAGCCGACAAAGACATTTCTGTCTCTTCCTATAGTGGTGTTGCTGTTTCAGTTGGTGGTACACTTATCTATCCCATTGACCAGCTGGGACAGTTATATTATGTGGTCACCCCAACAGAAGATTCATCTCTTAATTTAAAAGAGTTTGCTGCTGTAGCTCATGAGGATTTCACATCTGTGACCATTCACCTACAAGGCACTGTAACTTTCAAAAATAAAGTTTACCATGCTGGGTCCATCTTGATGACTGACCTCAAGGCCTTTGAAGCAATTCAGCTGCAAAGTACAGAAGATTTATCAGGCACCAGGATTGAATCGACCAAATCTGTGGCTGTCTTGAGTGGACATAGTTGTGTTACCAAGTTCACATTTTGTGATCATGTTGTTGAGCAGCTCCTGCCAGTTCAGAGCTGGGGAACCACCTTCATCGTCCCTCCTCTTTCTTTCCAGACAAAATTTGATATTGCGTATATTGTTTCTGCAGAGAATACTTTACTCAAATATCAGTCCAGCTCCAGGAAAGAATCTCGTACTCTGGTGGCTGGAGAAGTGGTTCAACTTGAGATCCCGGCCTCTCAACCACTTTTTATCTCTGCTGATGCTAGAATCCAAGTCGTGTTTTTTTTCACTGGTGCCAAAAGAGGAGATGGTTACTATGAACCTTTCCTCATGAACATCCCTGCCATAACATGCTATTGCAATTCATACCACATTTATGGAATGAAAAACTTCACAAATCATGCCATGATTATAGCCAAATCCTCAGAATCTGGTAGGATCACAATGGAAGGCAGGACGATCCGGTGGACACAGATCCCAGGCACAAAATATTCATGGGCTGAAGAAGATGTGGATATAACAGATCGTGCCCTGTCAGTGGAACACGAGAACTCTCCATTTGGACTTTTCGTCTTCGGAGGTGGTAAAGCTGATGGCTACGGCACTGCTGCTCTTTGTTCTTCAGGT